TCTTGCCATGCCGCTTATTTATCAGATCCAGGGCCCTCTTACTTCTGGTCTGTCGTCTTCTGTAATTTTTTGAAAATCGTAAGGAGTGAGATATCTACATAGATCCTACCTTAATCTAGACCTAATATCTATCAACTTAAATAGCTTACGCCTCTCAGTCTCGTAGCTTTCCTCTAATTTCTGGATGGAGGTGTGATAAATTATTGCATTAGCCATATCCAAATAACACATCCTCATTAGATTGGAGAATCGTGGAGTGATACCACAATGTTTATAACAATTCTAAAAGGATTGACTTACAATAATTATATTTCTCTCGCTATAATCACATGTTTTTTAGTTATGAGTATAAGTAGGTAAGTCGCAATGGTTAAATTCTGTTTTTTAACATTCTTAATTCCCCCTTAAGATCCAATAATTGCTTTCATATATCCATACTGTGCTCTTTTTCTAAAGCTGGATCAACTTCGTCTTCTGGTTACCTTGCGCCTTTCCGTTTCTTCGAATATGGAACCAATTTATTTGGTCCGTCGTCGATCAGCCTACCTTCTTGATAACTGTCTTTATGTTGATGTCACTGGACCGATAAACAACATATTAGCACGCCTTGAATCCCTTAGTTTTATGCCTTCTTGTACATCAGACATGGATGCAAGTGTTTGCTCCCAACTTGCTTGCCTTTTGACGACTCTTCTTCCAACTCGGACAGATGTTCAATCCCCTGGACAACTGCCTGTTGAACAGCTTATTCTTGAGCAGATGGTCTCTCTCGTCTGTCCCCAAGGGAGACAAATTAGAATCTTACTCAGGTATTTTTTTGTTTCTTATTTTCTCTTTTATTTTATTTTATAATCATTTCAACTTTTATTTTCACCTAGATGTCTCTTTACATTTTCTGCCTTTTGGCTTATAGTAAATAGATGTTTTGTTTCTGTTCACAGTCAAATTTATCATGTTTTCGAGATTAGACTTAAATGCATCTTTATATTCCCTTTATCTTGCTGATGGTAATGAAAATGAATACTTGAGAAGTGAGGGAAATAATGTTCCTTGTATATTTGTATTCCTTCTTGAGGCTGACAGTTTCTGAAATGCATACATTATTTTGGCCAATGCCTATTATTTTATTATCATTTTTCTGTTTGCTTAACAAAAAGGATATATTCTTTGTTTCCTAATCGATTTTATTTACGATTAAACGTATGACAAATTTATAATTTTTTATTTTG